AACATGTTTGGACACTACAGGATATTATGAGCTAGACAACCGTGCATAGAGTACGAAGCATCAGAGGAACAATGCACATACTGGTAACGCCCACATAAGGAGAATGTGTACATTAAAGGTATCACTTTAAAAGTATTAAATATCTTTTAATCCTTTACACCAAAAAATGATCAAGTCGTCGACAAGGCTGAGCACGTGACTAATGCGTGAACATGCGTGATTAACACGTGGCTAATGCATGAACATTGCCATGCACATGACATATTGTTGACGACCACATCGGTATTAGCAATCGGTATTGACATACATTAGCAACACATGTTGGTGGAAACTACCAATTAGTTATCGATATATGATGACAAGTGACTGATAATTATCAATAAGCGTGTCGATGAGCGAAAGACAGTGTGCAATTATATGAATACATTAGAAGTGTTGAGATACAATTCAAAGTTCAAGACCACCAGAGGACAGAGCAATTAAAATGATGGCACGACTAGCAAGCATTTACATGAAGAGTATGGAGGTATGATTGCAAGCTCATGATCACTATATTAGGCAGTTGAGATCGCGAAGCAACTAACGTGAATGTTTTGAGAGAAAAACCATTCAAAAAGAAGATTATGGGATCGTGAGAATGTGGGCACAAGGTTTTCGCAGTGGAAGAACAACGGAACAACCACTTGGTAACAAGATCATGGGGGCAGTTAACACAAATTTTCAAAGAAATAACCGTTTGAGGACAAGATAAAGAGATCATGGACACAAGACTTTCAGAAGTAAAGAAGCATGGAGGCAGCCAACGAAAACTGCTCAAGAAGAATGCAACCGCTTAAAACTTCTAGAGAGCAGTTACCACACGACAATTATAAATAACACTAATCATCTACCGAAAAAGTCCCCCACACAAATAAAATAAATTTACTATCTTTCAGTATCTTCACTTTCCTCCAAATTTGCATCGTCGATTAAATTCCAGCGTGTTTCTTAGCTATAGTTTCCAGATCCACATCATCGATTAAATTCCGGCGTGTATCTTTATCTCGGCATTTTTGGGCTTAGTTGTCGATTAAATTTCGGAAGGTTTGTTTACGTTTGGTTCGTTAGTAATAGCCGTACTTCTCAAGCCTTGTCGTCAATTAAATTCTGACACGATTTGTCTTTGTATAGTTTGGTTCAAAAGTAAGGCTATTAATTTCTTTATTTGCCTGGATATTTCCTATACGGAGTTGGCGCAGAACCTGTCTTTTCTAATAAAAATTGAAGAACGACTTTCGGTTAGCGAAACAGTTATCATAACTCATGCTTAGCAAATCCCAACTTGGGAATATCATAAAGTCTACAACAGATGAAAGGAAGAGAGCTCGTCATACAAAAAAAATTCCATATGGTCGGACTACCTACCAAGGCTTCGGCTCCCGACTCACCCGGTCCATGATATTAACGGGGTATTTCCGAAGCTTAGGATTTACCTATTAAAAGGACCCAAGGCGATCATCGTCGTCATTAAGAGAAACATAAAAAGGCCACTTTTTGGAGCAACTCCTCAAACCAAATGGGCACATTGTGTGCACTTCAAGAATGATGCTAAATGCAGTTTAGGGCAACTTGGTTTAGAGTTGGATCTAACAGACCGAACTGTGCAACTAGATCAGTCGCCATCATTCACTGAAACTGTACCGAAAGTTAACCTTTGTGTTTGTCTTGCAAGGCAATTTAAGCAGAGCTATTACCTTGCTTGAGTTTCATTTTCCATCGCTTATGAATCCATTACAGCGAGGATGAGTTGTGCTCTGACTTTATATTCCTAATGTCTTAAAGTTCTCTGATGACCGTCGTCAAATCATAAAGATCAAGACCAGCAGTGAGACGAAATAAGGGGCATAATGCTTCGAGAGCAAGGATTTTTATTTTTTTATCAGACTTCGCGATCAAGGATGAGGTCGCGTAACGTCCTTCTTTTCGCATTCATACTTTTGTTTTTGGGGGTCAAAATTTCGCATTCATGCTTAGTCGTAAATTGAACTGACATAACCAATTTGATCTCTCTCTCTATGCAACCAACATATATTTGTAAGAGATCTTGTTGTGGTGTTGTGTCGAAAGTTCCTTGCCCGCGAAGCTGATATAACCTACTCAAATGAAATATATCTGCATTGAAAGGAGGTGTACGCCATCTTTACAGGGCAAAACTCATTCGGAAGTGCAAACTTTATAGAAAGGCATGACCGAATGCGTGCTACTTCTTTCATATGATGGGTAGAATCTTCACTTGGATCTATCAATGGCCCATAAGAGCCATCGGAATTGATCTAGTGAATTGGTTATGCACATGTAAAAGTGAGTGAACATCCAAAAATAACATCATAATTATTGATTTTCATAGGGTACAAATGTTATTGTTGAATGGTCAATCCTCGAAATTCATAAGATAGAATAAGATTTACAAACTACTGTTGAAGGAGATTGGGGGTAAGTCTACAGCTAAGAGTAAACTTCTTTACTTCTAGGACTAAACCAAGAATTTATTGCGAGTTGTAATGAGTGGCAGGGTTATTTGATATAGTCCTTGGATTTGTAGCGGGTTCTTGTAGTCTTGTATTAATAAAAGAAAAGAAACTTCTTCTGATGAATGCACAACCTTGGGGCACCATTTTCTCTAGCATCATAAATGTCACTAATATAGCGTAGGACTTTTCGCATTTTACTTTGAGACATCAACCAGAATTTCAGTGAAAGAAGTTAGTGGACGTAATTGATCAATACGTTATATCAATTTGTGGTGCCTAACCTCTTGAAGATGGCAACTACAATTCCGACCGGACGTTAATCTTTTGCCCAGCACGGTAGTCCCTCCGGTGTTTGGATAAACCTCAATCATTGATTTATAAAGATGAAGATTTTATATAGGCACCGTATGGGACAGAAGATCTCCATCCTGATATTGAATATCTTCCGCACATTTTATTATCCTCAATTATGACTCTTTTTTTCTTTTAAGTCTTGTCTATTAACAGAGAAAGGATAAAGCACAAAAAGGATGGGAGGAGACATACAGCTGTGGGCAGAGAGAGAGAGAGAGAGAGAGAGTAACGACTAGTCCTTGGCAAAAAGATATTGATTATAAGTTGTAATATTTTCTCATTCTCCACATTGATACCCCGATATTAGTTAAGTTCAAATTTGCCCCGAAAACTTTAACGACGAAATTATGAGAGGCCTCTAATTTCTCGTCCTAGAAGTCCTCATGGAGTGAAAATTGTCGTTACTGAAAATTTGCTTTTAAGGATGAACAAATGTTCTTACAAAAATGTGACAAGTGCTTTATGAGTGCACGCCAATAACGATCTTTCTCTAAAGTCGGAAATGCATCTAATGAATATCATGATCATAAAGGAAGCCAAAACCCTTGTCCACCCAGACCAAAACGAAGGACACTTTCTTGTAGCAACTACTAAAACAAACTGAGCGCATTAAGCGAACTTGAAGGATGATGTTAAACGCAGTAAGCAGCAATTTGTGTTAAAGTTAGACGTACCAAACCAAAGCGTTGCAACAAGATTAGTCACTATCATTCACTCAAAGTTGCACGTTGCTTTTGTCTTGCCGATATTGCCATTTAAAAGCAGACCTATTATTTTGATTGAGTTTCACTTTCCATCACATGTGAATTCTTTTCATTGAGGATGAGGTCTGCTGTGACTTTACATGCTAATGGTGACTTTGTCAGGAAGTTATCTTCTTTAAGAAGAAAATTACTAAATTCATCTTCAACTTTACTTCCTACTGTAAATATCCATCTGAGACGCTTGGTCCCTCACACCCCACCGCCAGGTTTCCCGTCTCCACCGCAGGCACCGCCATTTTTCCTTCGGAGGTCATCACTGACCTCATATCTGAGGCAGGCGATGGTCACCGCGACGGTCAAGGTCAGATCAAGGTCGTGGCCACCATGGTCAAGCTTTGTTACAGAGCTTGCGCAGCTGGCGAGTTTGCCACATAAGCTCGTGACCAGCCATGGCCCTCACAAACTCGAGGCCGACCTCACATGGCCTCAGCAATCGTGAGCCACAGGCTCAAGCTGAGCTTGCGGGCCCTCGCTGTACCAAGCTACGAACTATCTCGCCACAGATAGAGACGGGGATGAGGGGATGAGGGGAGAGGGCTATAGCCAACAGGCAAGGGAGAGGGTGACGTCGTCGGCACCGGACTGTGGCGTCGACCCAGGGGTGCCTCCCATTCGTTGATGGGAATAATTTCCAAAATAGTCTTAAACCTATTGTACGAATGTCAATTCAGTCCCAAATCTTTCAATTTGGTTAATTTAGTCCTAAACCTTTTGGCATTTACCAATGTAGTTCTTTCGATCAATTTTGGCCACAAATCACTAACATGTATGTTGGTCGTCCCACATAGGCGCTGACGTAGATAATTTTTGCAAGTTTTTTTTTTATTTTTCTGAATTTTTTTTCTTTTTTTCCTTTTTTTCCTTTTCTTTTCTTTCCTTTTTCTTTTTTCTTTTTTTCTTGTTTCCCTCCGCCAGTCCATGACCTTAGCAGCGTCCACGTTAGCGATTTCCCGCCAAAAGTAGCCAGAATGACTAAATTGGCAAATTGTCAAAAGGTTTAGAATTAAATTGGCCAAATTGAAAGGTTTTAGACTGAATTGCCATCCATATAATAAGTTTATGACTTTTTTTGTAATTTTCCCAACGTTGATGTGTTGTGCTGTTATGTGTGAGGAGAGAGAAATGGCAGGAGAGGAGAGTGGGAGAGGAGTTTCGGGATAGATTTTGAAGTAGACATATAATACAAGTGTAAGAGCCAAAATAAATGAAGGAAGAAGCAGAGAGTAGATGTAGAATATATGGCTATAACGATTACCAATATCATCAAGCCAAATGATAAAGTCCCAATCATCTTTGTTTCATTTCATTTTGTGAGGTCATTCAATAGTACACTCGACCTGCTCTTTCCTAGAATGAATGAGAGGATGAGAGGAGACATGAAAAGGACTCAATTTTATTGAAATGAAGAAATCGACAAGCAACAAGTCATTTGTGGAACATATATGACCACATATACCACCATACTAGACCACCAACCTCATCAGTCTTTCTACACCCACAAAGATAAAGACCCCAACATAGCCCTAAAAGATTGATTGATGTATCTTTCACCAAGTTACTACATTAATAATTGACATCAGAAATTTTGAACTCGATCACATGACAATGCACGCAGCGGCATTTTCTTCACTAAAGTAATCACATCGGCTAACATGGTAACCTCTATTCCCACCCTGACACTCACAAGCCGGTCTTCCACATCCATCATCGCACATCACTGGCCTCCCCAGCCTAGGATAGGAACCTCCATTCCCACCTTGACACTCATCAGCCAGTCTCCCACATCCATCATAGCACATGGCTGACCTCCCCCGCCCAGGATGGGAACTTCTATTCCCACCTTGACACTCATCAGCCGGCCTCCCACATCCATCAGAGCACGTCACTGGCCTCCCCCGCCCAGGATGGGAACTTCTATTCCCACCTTGACACTCATCAGCCGGTCTCCCACATCCATCAGAGCACGTCACTGGCCTCCCCCGCCCAGGATGGGAACCTCTATTCCCACGTTGACACTCATCAGCCGGTCTCCCACATCCATCAGAGCACATCACTGGCCTCCCCTGCCCAGGATGGGAACTTGTATTCCCACCTTGACACTCATCAGCCGGTCTCCCACATCCATCAGAGCACATCACTGGTCTCCCCTGCCCAGGATGGGAACCTCTATTCCCACCTTGACACTCATCGGCTGGTCTCCCACATCCATCATAGCACATTACTGGCCTCCTCCGCCCACAATAGCATGGTCCCCCACCATAACCTCCATAACGTGGGGGACAACAACACACCCCCACCATCGGATACACCGGCAGCATCGGATACACTGGCACTAGCGGGCAGCCCATCACCGGCTTCTTCTCGGGCTCCTTGGGCTCGGGCTCCTTGGTATCCTTTAGTTTCTTGGGCTCCTCGGGCTCCTTGGGCTTGTCGGGCAGGATCTCAACGCTCAGCACCGTCTCGCCACCCTTGCAGATGATCTTTTGCCGGATCTTTTCCGGGCTGCAGCACACGACGGTGATCAACACCATGTTCTGCTTTTCATCGTATGTCTGGTCTCGGATTTCTTTTGTTCACAAATTAATTCATAGCAAACTCAGTCGAATTAAATTAACACCAATGCAATAGTAATTACAAATCAAGAAATGACAACAATTTGAAACTAAAAAGAGGGGAAGCAAAAAAAAAAAAAAACAAAGAGAGAGAGAGAGACTCACGGGGAAATTCACAGAGAATTTTCTTGATCTTCCTGTAGCAGCACGAGCACTGCAGATCCACCTTTATCGACATTTTGGTCACCTGCAACAAACAAGAACAATGCAAAAATCAATAAAGCCATGTGTATCAAATGAATTCGAAGTGAGGTTTTCCTTTTCCCAAACGTTTGCAGAGAAAGTATCAGGGGGAAGATGCAGAACAGAGAAATGAACAAGATGGACCCAACAAAATAATAACCCAAACGGAGAGATAATTGTTCTGAAAAATCACAACCATAGAGTGATATAAAAACCACACAGAAAAGAAAAGGGAAGAAAAATGGAGCTGGCGAGTATCAAGATAGATGAGTTAGAGGAAAGAGGAGGAGGATTCACCCTCTCTGCCATAGCTGCGGGAGAGACAAGATCTGGAGAGCTCCAAAAATGAGTGAATGGGAGTGTGAAGTGATGAAGGAAGGAGCGAGTGATGATGGGGTGTCAGTGACAGATGAATATGAATGATATAGAATGAGAACGGTCCCTATATAGTCAATAGCTCGTCTGCTTCCTTAAGTTTTTGAGAAAATTCTGTATTTGACTTAGAGTCGCACGATGAACGGAGTCAACCAAGAAGTGTACGGCAAACTCGTATTTTGGTGAGACTAAGAACAAGGAACTTGACCGTACGTATGTTAGTTCTCATGTTACTGTACCGTTGAATACTAGGAGAAGCATGCGTTGAACTCATGACGTCCATAGTATTACATCACCTCCATTGTTGGTGGGATTGCAGTCTGCGGCAATGATGGGGTTATGAACAGATATTGCACGTGTTTTACCTTCCATCGTCGAAAGAATTACAGCAGAAGAACAGGAACAGCACCAAGGCGATGGCTACAATTTCATCACTTTGCTTTCTGCAGTTGAATTATTTCCAACACGTGCATTAGAGGTTTTTTGTTCCTTAAACTGTCGTTTTGCTCATTTGATTTCGGTCCTTTGATTGTTGTTCTTGCATTGAATTTGGTTTCGACAATTCACTGCACATGAAGTTGGATTTCGAGGGAATTCGTAGGTGACTATGTTGGGGTGAACTGTACTGTTTTATACATTGTAATGCTTAGCTCAGTACATGGAACTAAAATTGTATGGACTGATCATCTAAGTATGTCGAGTGATCGAACATAACAATAAATAAAACAAGAAAATAAATGGCGCACCAGATTTACGTAACTCGATCAATGTGATCACCTACTTTAGGAGGAGAGAAGCACAAGATTCCACTAAAGATCGAACAATACGACAGAGAGTACTAACTTAAAACTTCGAAAAGAAAAGAAAAAACCTTATTGAGCTGTCTCCCACATGGGTTAGGTAATTGCCCGTGTTCTCCAAACCGACTTTACATGGTTTGATATGAAGTCTAAGTTGGACTTTGAACCCGTGACATAATTTCATTAAAGTACATCAAACTCCAAAAAAATATGTTAGACCTTCCTTATATGGCAAGTCAATCTTCACAAAGTGTATATCATGAAATTAAAGAATTGTGGAAAGAAACAAAGAATCATTCTCCATCGACAGTAAACCAAATTACACGTACACAATGTGGTTGGCAATGTATATTAGATTTGAAAAATGATTGGGGACCGCGAATGTAGTGGTGGAATTCATCTGTGTAAAGAGCAAGAAGCCATTGATTGGAAAGAACAAGAAGCTTAGTTTATCAAGTCACTGTCCTTTCAGTTAGGAAGCCATCCACAGTGCAAGGTAAGATAGATTAATTCTAATTTAAGTTATGGATTTCATTAGGCAATTGTATCTCCTACTAATTTAAGATATTAAGCTTATAGTATATGACCTCTAGATATAATTTGTGGTCGGCCTTTCAACTTGCAAGTGCGTGACTGCTGATTATATCTTAATGCCATAAAAGGATCGTGCATATGGGAATGTTCCCTTAATTAAATACTAGTGTTGAGCACGTGTTAGAGGTGTGTGCAAAAGCGAATTACCTCCAAAAAGAAAAAAAAAGGGTAGTTATTTTTAAAGTTAAGGTAACGGGTGAGGATAGTTGTTTTTTGAGTGGAGCAAGTGAATCTTAGTTGGTGAATGAAAGTTGATATATATTTTTTAAATGAACAAAAAGTAAGACAAAATGGTGTTTTGCTTTAAAATATGTAGAAGTCTATTCTTTATTTGCCCTACGTAATATGCCTTAGTTGCCAAAATCGATAGGTTCAAGTAAGCACGAAAATAGTCTATTAAGAGACAGTAATATCACACACATTGACGTCTTATCAATTAATCATTACGCGTACACGTTATAGGGCTTGTATTCTACTTTCTATAAAGAGAGAGGCTCAATTTTTCGCGTAGATAAAGTAAAAAAATAATAATTATTGATTTGCCGGTGATACCGCATAAATTGTCACAATATAAGTATTACATGATACAATTTTATCTAAAGTCCACTTAATTTAAAATTGATTCAAAAAAAAAACAAGAGAGCAGTTCATAAGATTTAATTGAGAAAATTGTACAAAAAGTCTTAAATCTATTACACTTTTAATTTTGCCAATTGAGTCCTAAATCTTTTCACATTTTGCCAATTGAGTCCATCCGGCCAATTTTGGCCAGAAATCACTAACGTGGATGCCGGCTGTCCTACGTGGCACGGCCGACACTGACGTGGACATTTTTTAATAATATTTTAATATTAGCTTCAAATTTTTTGTTTATTTTTTTCTTTTTCCTTTTTTTTCTTTTCTTCTCTTTTCCTTCTTTACTTTTTTTCTTTTTTCTTTTTCCCTCTGCTAGCCATCGCCGGGCCTCGTCGATGGCAGGCGGAGGTCGACGGCCTTAGGCATGGGCATCCCTCGCCCGCCTCAAGCGAGGGCGTCCCTCACCGGACGACAGGCAAGTGCAGCCCCAAAAAGACCCGAGACTCGTGAAATGACTAGTCTCTCTCTCGCGCTTGCTCTCCCCCTCGGTGGTCGCGTTGTCCCAGTTGATTAAACTTCCATTCTACTCCCTCCATCTCTCTCGCTTGCTCCTGCTTATGTAGTTTGGCTACTGATCTTTATTGCTCTGTCTCTCTCTCTATGGTTACTTGGAGTAAGCAAATCTGTGTGCCTAATGATGTCAAAAGGAAGAAACTTGCCTTCTTTGTTCTGCATTGGCTAGTATGAAATTGGTCTTTCGTAAAAAAATTTGACTGGGTTTTAAAGGAATCGCAGCATGATTCAAATTTCAGGGGCTTTTGGGCACTTACCCACCAGTGCATTCTAGCTGTTTGAAGAATTGCCTAGCATAACCTCTGTCAATGCAGCTTCGAAGATTGTGAGGTTTTGTTCTATGGGGTTGTGTGCTGGCGAGGGCAGCCCCTCGTCAGATCGGGCGACCCTCGCCAGGGCTAGCAAGGGCAGCTCTCGCCAGCCCAAGTGAGGGTGACCCTCGCCCGAGGCCGGCGAGCGGAGGGAAAAAGAAAAAATTAAAGAACAAAAATAGAAGAAAAGAAAAAAAGGAAAAATAAAAAATTAATAAAAAATATTAAAATATTATTAAAAAATGCCGACGTCGGCGCCAGTCATGTCATGTAGGACGATCAGCGCCCCCGTCAGCGATTTCTGGCCAAAATTGACCAGATGGACTCAATTAGCAAAACATGAAAAGATTTAAGATTCAATTGACAAAAGTGCAATAGGTTTAGGACTTTTTGAATAATTTCCCCATATTTAATTTATTAGTTTATCGTTCAACAATTTTTTTTAATATTTCAATTCAAACAAATCTAAATAAGGAATAAGGAATAATGATCTCAAGTTTTAATTTGGTCATTCAAAAAGATTGAAACAAAATGACATTTGAAGAACATTAACGGATAAGGAAATCCCGATGCACTAAAATAAAAACAAAATTAAATTTGCAAAAAAAAAAAACTAAAAAGTCTTCTTTTCAAAATTTTCTGTTATAGGTGTATTCACTTGAATTTTGAGTTTAAAATTCCTCGCCATATAACTAGATAAATATTTTTATTTGGTATTTTGCATACTCAATAAGGGATAACAAACCCTAAATAACACATAGGCAAATATCACCAACGCTAATAACAAGAAGAAACTAAATACATGTGAAAATGTCAGTGCAAGACTCTTTTGCTCGCGAGAACCTGGTGACACGGAGGCGGACTGATGAAGGAGGCGGAGTAACGGCAAATTGGGCGCAACAGCTCCTACGGCTCGTCGCTCAACAGCTAGCCATAGAAGACATCATGGCCTTCCATGGAGTCTGCACTTCATGGCAGTCCGCCGCCGCCGGAGACGAGTACGACGTGAGGAAGAAAGCCCCATTGGCTCATGATTCCTGTGGGCAAGCCACCCCAACATTAGTTCTGCGCCGGAGTCCGAGGTGTATTACGTTCAATCCCCGTAATCTGGCACCAAAGTCGGTTGAAGCAGTTCCTCGGACTCTAGCAAATCATTAAGTGAAAATCATCCATATTACTGTTAAAATAGACTTCTTGCTGTTAGCGAGTCGAGTGTATATATGTTGAGTATAGTCTGTTACTTTAATCTTTTTAATAAAATTTTTCTACTTTGTGAGACATCATTAAAAAAGTTCAAGACATCACTTATTTGGATTGATAATGTACGTATCGGATGTAGCTAGTTAAAAACCCAATTTTTATGAAAAATGCTCACTGCTTTATCACGTTATAAGTTTAGAAGTACGCGTATGACTTGAAAGATGTGGGATTAAATGGGGAAAAATTGCCCAAAAATTCCTAGACCTATTATACTGTTGCCAATTCAGTCCTAAACTTTTCAATTTAGCTAATGCAATCCTAAATCTTTTAACGATTTTCCAACGTAATCCATCCGGCCAATTTTAGCCAGAAATCGGTGACGTAGCGGTCCAATCAACGTCAGTTGTCCTATGGATGCTAAGGTGGACAATTTTGCAATTTTTTAAAGAAATTTCTCTCTTTTTTCCTTTGTTTTCCTTTCCGTTTCTTTTTTTCTTTTTTCTTGTTTTTCCTATTCATCTTCTTCGCTTTGCCGGTCAGCCTTAAACGCAAGGTGAGTTGAAACAAATCAACTTGAATTTGAAAAATAATCCGAACAATGTCACAAAATCTTCGATTGTCGTGAGATAAGTGAGTTGGAAAAATGAGCTCAACGGATCCGAGGCAGGGCGATGTGTGGTAGCGTGTGTAATGGCTCCAAGCTTCCGTTGACAACAAGATTTCAGTATGTTGCTCGCCTGACAGCGGCGAGTTTGGTGGTGGTGTCGACTTCTCAAAACAAGAAGTGAAAAGTCGAGAATTGGATGCCAACAATATGCACCCTTTGCAGTCGACTTTGCTGTTGGAGCCGAACAACATACGTCCTTTGCGATCAACTTTGCTGTCGGAAGAGTAATTGAATCAACGCAGCCGATACAACTGGCGTGGCTACAGCAAGTGGAATAAGCCAGGCTTTACTGAGCGAAAGTTACTGTGCGAAGACGTGTCTTCACAGCATCGAAAAATACCTCCATGAAAAAGAAAA